TCTCTCTCTCTCTCTCTCTCTCTCTCTCTCTCTCTCTCTCTCTCTCTCTCTCTCTGTGTGTGTGTGTGTGTGTGTGTGTGTGTGTGTGTAAGTCGTTCAATTGTTCATATCCTCTTGGTTCTACCTGGATATGTGGTCATGTGTGTTAGGAAATAGTAACTGCTAGTCTGTCTCATCATAATTCACACTAGTGACGATAATCTGTCATTTATCTTTGAAATGACTCAAAAGGCATAGAAACTGAGATGATAATGGCAAGGATCCAGCATAACAATGGACTTAATAAATATCAGTCTCAAAATGAAAAGCTGAAGGGATTGTTTTATCCTTACAAAATCCACTTCATTTATTCAGTCTCTTCAAGCCAATCTCCGAACTACAAGACCTTAGAGGCAGGGATGAGACATTACTGGTCCTGTTTTGAGCACATACTAATTACACAATAAGTATGTACTGAATACGTCCTCTTTGGACAACCACAAGTGACTAAGCTGTGGTAAGAATGTGTCAATGTGGGTTTTACCCATAGACAAATGCTATTCTCAACTAGTCAGAGAAGCCTCTCTTTCCAATGAACAGCCTCACAGCTGCTCAAGGTGCCGAGAACAAGGATGGATACAGGAGTGAGAACAAGGGCTCGGCCGTAAACAACTACAGCATCCTCTAAGGCCCAAGGAACACCATGGGAGAGGGACAGGAACAAACGTGAGGTCTGAACAATAGCGAAAGGGCTGGGAAATGCCATCTTCTGTGAAAGACACATCACTGTAATCACAAACTCACAGCCACTGCTAACGTCTATACTGGGTTGGCACAAGAATGGACCTGTGACTTCACTGCTGAACTGTTAATAAATTGGAGGAGACATGGAGTCATTGCTTTCCAATGCATACCCACTGGTGACCCCACCAGGCTCCGGTGGAGAGTTCCAGCTCAGTGATCACACAGTGGCCCTGGTTAAAGTACATGGATCACAAAACAACCAAAGACATGAACCTAGGAAAGGGACATGCAGGGAATGTGAGGGATGTTGATAGGGATGGGAGGGATATAAAAGAGAGTGTGGGAGAGTAATAAGAATACAATATATATATAATATATATCTATTATATATATATGTGTGTGTGTGTATGAAACTGTCAAAGAACAAAGAAAAAAGAATGTCTCAATATGACACAAACAAAATTAAAAATGGCATTATTGACATTATAGCCATTGAAAAACACATTTATATACGTTATTTTTTTTTTTTTTCCATCACAGGCAATTTATTTTGTTCTATTCATTCACAGTTAATACAGAAAATACTTGGAAACATTTCCATATAATGTTTGACACAGAAATCATCAAATAGAAGTATACAATGTTGACAGGAGGCAGTACATTTATAATTTATACGTTATTAAATCCATTTTATGACTGTATGATTTGAGTTGTAAAATCAACTCACTAAGAATATAGGTCAAAACAAATCACAAAACTTTAAGATTGGTAAGTCTTACTGCCAAAGTCATAAATCTAGATAATGTATAATAATTCCCAAACTTAGAAAGTGCTATTTGTTTCCATAACACATAGTAACCATGGTAATACGCATACTAATAGGACATAAGTACAGTGCTTTCTGCTCCTACACTACTTTGGAAATAGTTTACTACATATCATTTAGTTCTTATTGCAGTGTTACCAGATAGGAACCTAATAAAGATGAGCCAAATGAGGTACAAGCAGGTACCATCATTTGCTCAAGGTCATTCAGCTGCTAAGTGGAAGAACTGTAGTTGAACATGGGAATGCTTGCCGCCGTCTTTGCTGTGAATCACATTTCTATCTTATTTGCTATACAATAATAAAAGGCCGTACAAATCCTCTCTATATAACATAACCTTCCTATGCTTATGTGATATGCCTCAAGAGTCCTCAATTTCTTTTTAGTAACCTGTGGTGTATTTTAGCTATTAAAAAAATAGTAGAGGGGGCTGGCGATGTAGTTCAGCTCGTGGAGTGCTTGCCTAGCTTGCACAAAGTCCTGGCCTCAGTCCTGAGCATTGCATAGGCTGGACGTGATAACTCATGACTGCAAATGGTAGCACTCAGGAGGTGGAGGCAGGAGGATCAATAGTTCAAGGTCATGCTTGGCCACATAGTGAGGTCAAAGCCACCTGGGATACATGAAACTTTGCCTCAAAACTAAAATTATGCATATGTAAGACAAATTAGAGAGGTTACTAGAAGTCCTGGGATGATTAGCGAGAATGTCTAATTAGTATGTATTCCAGGATGAAATTCCATCAAGATAACGAGTCATACTGACATACTACCCCAAATATTCAACAGCTATAAGGGGAAAGGGGCATCATCCATGGGCCCACGACCATCAGCTGGCTTCAGTCCTGAGCACTGCATAAGCTGGGCATGGCGACCCATGGCTGCAAATGGTCAGCACACATATTACAAATGACACCCTGGAAACCCCGCCTGAGGGCTCAGCACCAAACACTGGACTTCTTAAACCATTCACTACGTCGCACCCATAGTTTCAGGTCATATGAAAGAAAAGAGAGTTCATAGCTTTGGTTTCGTAAAGAGTCTAAAGTAGCCATTATCTAGCTAGCTCTGCCATTTCAAACACCACAGCAGGTTAGGAGCTTGAGCAATGACCTTGAAAGCACAGATTGGAAGCAGTTAGACGCAGAAGCAGCCTATCAAGTAGACATACGTACCATAAAGGGCCTTTGCACTTGGTTTTGAACTATGTTCTCTATCCATCTGGGAAAAGGGTGGTGAAGATCCGTAGCCACTGTAATAATAATAAATAAAGAACGTTCATTGTCTTGGGTTAAAGTCCATAGTGGATAATAAAATTCAGAACCAAGAGTTTAAAATGTCAATGTACCATAAGCACCAACTGTTTTCTTAAAAACATACTGAGTTTACACGAACTGAGCTAGCCAATAGGAGCAAATTCCTGCTCAGGCGAGTCATGAATAAACAGAAATATAAATCAGGTAATGCCAGTGGGGACCATGGTGCCTGTCTCAGCCCATCCTCAATGAACTCACCAAGGCTAGAAAACACCTTACAAGAATACAAACCTTTGCTATTCAACCACAGAGGGCAGAGGAATAGTGGAGAGGCAATGTAGATGGAACCCCTTACATCCTCCCTAATAATTAAATGTGTTTCCCTACATACAGTAAATACAACCTGTCCTAAAGAATGTGGAGTTTTGGATAAATGCCATGATGGCAGATGTGGGAAAGCCTCATTGTGCATGCCACAGAAGATAACGGCCACTCCATTCAGGCCTGCGGCTTCACTCCCCACCGGGAGGCTTGTGGATAGCTCTGTCTGGGTTTTGCTTTATGTTGTTGTATACAGTGGCAAATATCTATAGAGTGTGGATATAGCTGTTTTACAAATAATAACAGGATGTTCCAGAGACAGCCAAAAATCTGGAATATGATACACATTTAATGACAAAAGGCAGTAAGACATAAAATTCCAGATTCAAATATCTTTCAAGTACATGACAGCATCCCTGGAGCTGGTATTCATTTAGCCTTTTTAAAAATAATAGCTTTTAATGATAACATGGATTAGTAATAAAAAAAAGGAGACTGCTTCTGAATGAAATAGAAATGGATTGCATAAAGAAATATAAATAATATTTTCATTTAAAATATGTTTAAAAGTAGCTAGGCATGGTGACACATGACTAAAACACTATCCCTTGGGAGGCCAAGGCTTGTAAGATCAAGGCTAGACCAGACTGCACAGAAAGTTCCAGGCTAGTCTGTGTTTCCAAGTAAGAACATCTCACCAAAATGAGCAAATACCATGTCAACCCGTGCCAGAATTATACATGATCCCTTCAACTTACTTCATCTGGGAAGGGTAGACTCCATAACCACTGGGAGGGTTAGACATATGACCATTCATGCCGGCTCTCACGCCTCTGCTCTAAAAATAGAAAGGCACATAGGTCAAGGTAATGAGCAAGTCCGAGCACCTCAGTTTTACTGCCAGGTGATACCAGAAAGGCAAACAACAGGTCTCCACCTTCAAGCATTCAGGCTCAGAGGAATATATGGACACGTAAATGAGGACCCAGCTGGTCTTTAAGACCATTATAGAAACTGTAAGCTAATTTAGTGAGTTAAGAGGAAACCCTACAACGGCATCCTTAGTCATCTACGTGACTAGCCCATACCACCTGTCAACTCTGTAAGATGTCACCCCATTACTTCATCATAAAAGTCACGTAAACTTGATTCGGTGGAAAATGTGCAGAACACAGACAAGCATCCAGAGGAAAACCAGACCCTTTAAAGCTAAGCACGAAATGCTCACGTGAGGCCCTGGGTTCAATCCCGAGCACAGAATGATTTCATCAGCGGCTGCCTTTCAGCACACATCTCGCTTTCTCTCATCTTTGCTCCCCTTCCTTCATTGCATATTTAACAACACTTTGTTCGTTATTCTTACACACTTTGATTCACCTCCCTTAAGACAGTATTTCCTTACACACTCCTTTTACTTCTCATGAGGAAATGATTGCCAAACTCAATACCTAATATTAAACTTCAGAAACCATTTTAAGTGCATTTTATAAATGGAACACATTTCCTTCAAATGACTGGGAGGGAGGTAAAAATACTGCCACACACATCTGAGGACCGAAGTTCTGGAACCCACGGTGGAAGGAGAGAGCTGATTCCAGAAAGTTGACCTCTGGCCTCTACACAATGTTGTTACGCGCGCACACATGCATTTGCGAACACACATACGTGGCACATGCACACAATAATTAGTAATTAATAATAATAACATTTTAATTGCCTTCAAATAAGACCAATGAGTACAAACAAGTAAAAGTCCCTCACTATCAGCAGATGGCCATTTCTTACTTTTCTAGAAAGATGAAAATGTTGCCGTGCTAACCAGTATCTCCTCTCTCCTGGACCCACAGTCCTCCCGGACTTCTGTCACTAACCCACCCTGAACCCCACTGTGTTTTTCTACTGTGTCTTTTCATTGATTTTGCTGTTACCAGTCAACCTTCAGGGAGGGTACACATATCCCAGCTTTACTATAAGACAAGGGCCCAGGTAGGAGATGTGGGCAGCCATTGAGTGCTGAGTTAGTGACAGGTACTAAGACAGATACTAGGACTCCTGTGGTGAACAAATTAGATGTGACCTCGGCCACACAACCGCAAGCCTGGTGATAAAAGCAGACCCTTACTGAATAGATACAGAATTATAAAATGCAGTTGCTTTTGTGACAGACAATCCAGGGTTAGCATGGGAGTATACTGAAAAGGAACAATTCGGATCAAAACAATATTAAAGAAGCCCTGGTAATTTCCAGTTAATTCTTCCTCATTTTTTCATCTCAGTTCAGTCAATCACAACGTCCTTGGGGTGCTCTTATTGACTCTCCTGAACAAACAGAACCCACTAGCAGATACTCCCCACACTACAAACAAACCTTCAAAGTTCGGACAACAGCTGTAGCTTCTCATTTGTTAGTTCTTCCCTGACTTCAGCAGACGATTGCTTCTCAAAGGGCAAGCACTGTTGTTTAGACTGCTGTTGTTCAAACACTCAGAGGGCACTAGGCATTCAAGAGGTGTCCATTCAACAGTTGTTCAGACTGAGGAGGAAGACGGAAGCCTGAGTCCCTCTTTCCAAAGAGCGTATGATCTTAGAGGTCACTCATTTCTACAGAATGACACAAGTAATTAAGTCCCAGTCAACGGGCTCCACTTGAAACCCAGTGGAGTCGGGTGGGAGGAAAAGCCACACACTTTTAGGAAGGGCCAGTACTTGACTCTGCTCTTAAACAAAGGTTAGAATTTATAGATCCCCAAACATTACAGTGAATTCCAGCTCCCTGATGGTGTTCTCCTGCTGGCCTACTGCTTGAAGACAAGTGTCTAGATAAAGGAGCTGAGAAAGTTAGACGTGTTATTTCAAAGCCCACCAAATGGTCACACTGATTCACAAGCTGAATTCCTCGGAGGAAGTGAGCTACACAGAGGACCGTGTGATCTGCATTTTCCTACATGCAGCAAACCACAGTGGCCCTCCCTTCTGGGAGGGGTGTCCTTAACATATGAAGATGGAGGGGCAGCCTTGACCACCAGAAGCTGACAATCGGCATTCCGGTGAATCTAAATGAACACGAGGAAGGACCAGTTACCTGCCACTGGCGGTTGCTACCCCTTTCACATGCATCTCTCAGTACCACCACCAGAATTTGCTGCCAGGGCCCACACATTTGCCCAGACCTTCTTGCCCAAGGTTTATAGGTCTTCCGCTTAAGAGTAGGAAAGCATCTCACTTGGGTCATTTATTCTGATGTCACTCTCTCGTGAGACCCTTGGGTACCTTAAAGCTAATAAAAACTTACGTTTCTCTTACTCTTCAGCTTGTGTATTAATTTGGTTCCAAGACCCAGGCAAAGAGTTCATCCAAGAACTAAGGAGCAGGGGGATGCTGCCCCTCTACAGCGAGCACAGAGGTAGCTTATCCATATAGTTCTTGCACAGCAAGCATGGGACCTGAGTGAACCCATGGGAAGCAGCAGGGCAGGGGGGCACATGTCTGTAATCCCAGTGCGAGGGAGGTGAAATAACTGCGTCCCTCTGGCTTGACTCTACACTGGGTCAGTGTGGCCCCTTATAAAATTCTATTACGTGGCTGTCTCTGTTTCTATTGTTTGTCTTTCCCCTTTAGTTTTTGACTTAGATACACTCCTTGGTACAGTAGTAAGCTAATCAGGGAGGAGCTTACTGATTTTGCCGGTAGGAATATCCCCACCCAACCTATAGGTGATTTACAAAAGTGCTCAGCATCTCCCAATTTGCTCTCAGGAGTTCTCAGGATACAACCAGAACACCTGGCTGTTGCATTCCAGATTGGGACTAGCACTTCAGATCTAGAGCGAAGGGAGGGGTTAGGGTCCAGGCATTTGCCACTGAAGACTGGAATCCTGACACACTCTCCCCTACTGTTTGGCTCCGGCAAGTCAATTAACCCTGTCTCAGCCCTGTCATAAACAGAGGCGATTCTTCTTTTCCTAGTTCATGTGGCTGGTATAAACATCAAATGAGGCAGACACAAGTTTATTCAAAAGTTTTCTTTAAAAGAGAGAGAGGGAGAGGAGAGAAAGGAAGAAGAAACGGTCTTTCACAGCAGCCTGCTTCATTCAGAATATAAATTAAACCCCTAGGCCGTGTGCTGATTTTGATCTGGTTTGCATTTCTAAACCACAGCAGCTGGTTTTAATGAAGAGTGGTGGCCTGGGCACCCTTTCCTGTGCTGGCTTCTTCCGAGGAGCCTAATCAATGTGTGGTTTGTGTTCTGTTTTAAAAGAGCGATCTGTCAGAATCGGAGAGCATTAGAAAAAGGAATAGAAAATGTCAATTTGCTAAGCTGAATTTCAAATATAGAAAGTCGTCCCACTGGGCCACTGTAGTTTCACTTGTCACTGTGGTCAGGTGGTGTTCCACATGAGGACTTCAGATGTCTAAACATAGCCATCACTGAACACTCCTTCCAAAGGAAACAGTGTGTTGTCATTTTTTTTTTCAATTAGGCATTTAAAGATATGCTTAATTTAATGCCTAAGTAGCACCCAGAGAAGTTAAGAGAGAAGTCAGCGCTTACCAAGAAACAGGGGTTTTAATTTTCACCATCTCATCACTTTAGGGACTTGCAGAAGCAGTTAATTATACGATTTCCTTCTACTGAGGAGTACTGGAAACCATCACAATAGCTGCCAGGGGTCAGATTTAAACAGTCACCTCAATCTCTCATGAAACCCTTTTCTCAAGTCACGGTTATTATAGCTTTTCTTGTTTCCTAAGCAAAGTAACGTACTTTGGTGATTGCAAAGATAAGAATAACAAATGCAAGCTGCAGTACACCAAAGAAGCCCGAGACTACGATTTTCAGTCAATGAAACCCACTCAAAGAAGAAATCAATGGGATTAGCAGTCAGACTAAACAAACAAGCTAAATTCATAGTAGAAAGTATACCTGCTAGCTTGGAACGCACTCTGCAGACCACAGACATCAACCTGTCTCTACCTCCAGAGTACTGGGATTAAAGGCATGTGCTAACTACACCCCGCCAATTTCTACCCAAACTTTATGACATTGTCTGACAAAGTTTTACTTAAAACTTAAAAGAGGAAGCCTGGACTGGCCCTACAGGGAAACTGAGAGTTTGAGGTTTGCCTGGGCTATAGAGTAAGTTCAAGAACAGCCTGGGTTAGCAAAACTGTCTTAAAAACAAATATAAAAATTTTTTAAAGGGTTGGGAGTGTAACTCAGTGGCTGAGCACTTGCATCCTACAGGGCTCTAGGATTGGTCCTCAGCATGAAGGAAAACAAAACAGAACCAACTTAAAGTCGACTTGAGCTGTAGATAAATGGTTATTATAAAACAAACCTTAAATATTTAAAATAATTTTTGCTTTACCAGAGAGTTATAAAAGATATTAGTCCACAGGGTTCTGTTATACACCATGGCCTTCTTGTTAATGTGACATTGGTATGCTGCTTGAAATACACCAGTGAACCAATGTCAATTGTTCACTGAAGCCAAAACCTCACTCTGTTACTGACCCATCGTCTCCGTCTGTTCCAGGATCATCTCTGCTGTACTGTGTTACGCTTCGTCCTGACATTTCCTCCAGCTCCTGTACACAGGTATCTCTCCTATTCCCTTTGCTTTTGGACTCCTGGGTCTGCCAGACACAGCTTATTACAAACTGCCTTAAGACAACATACCCCCCTTTCCCTCACTTCTCTGGAAATCTGAAACGGAAGATTCTGTGGGCCGAGCTTCCTCTGACAGGTCTGAGGGCTTCCCCTACTGAAGGACACTCTGGGGCTGGTTGCTACATCCCTTCATTCATTTTCACACGGCCTTCTCCTAAACTGTCTTTG